CCGTAAGTCTAATACAGTACTGTAATTTTATACATTTCTTGTGAAAGAAACATTTCTTATTCAACGGCGATTAAAATTATTTATATTAATGATGTCTCCAAAGTTCAACGAAGTTTTCGCAGAAAAATAAGTTATTAGAAATCGGCCGCTGTTTGCTGAGCTGTTCTGCGACGAAAACAAGCTTGAACAATGGCGATGTAGAATGGTGCACACTCGGTAAGTAATCCTACAATTTTTTGTTTATAGCGTAGTTTATATGGATTATTTCCAAAAAAAATATACGTATTTTGGAAATGTTGAGTAGAATTAGTCTAGAATCGATTAATTTTATGGAAGAAAACCTTTCAAACAGCCGTAGTCCGTAAACTTGACACATTTCGGGCTGTGATTGGAAGGACTCGTAAGAAATCGGATTCCTAAAGAATGGAACGTATCTATGATCTTATAGGGGGGTCGACTGTATATGTAAAATGTAGTGCAACTATAATGAAATGTAATATTCTGAAATATATAATATTATCAAGCATTTTCAGATTGAAATTTTGAATTTCTTAAAAAATTACCAAGATCTTGTCCAAATGCTCTTTCATTTCCTTGAAGATACAAGAGAGAATATCCAGTCCATAATTGAGATGATCCTGCTGGACATTTTGGTATCTCTGTTGTCTGGCTATGGAAAGAAAAAACATTGCCTCTTGATGATGCCAACTGTCCAGGCCTTCCTTTAGGGCCAGGTTCTCCAGCTAATCCAAATTCTCCTGCTTGACCTTCCAAACCTAAATTTTAAAATAAATAAATAAAATAACTTTGAAGCTTAACTTTCAGAAACAAAAGGAAAAAAAATAATAATATGCACAAAGGAGAAGAAATCAAACATGATATATTATATAATCAACAAAAGAATTTATTTCCTGTATTATCATCCATCTTGGGATTCGGATATACAGTGGTACCTCAGGATGCGAACGCTCCAGCATACAAAATTTTCAGGATACGACATGAAATTCGAACATATTTTTGCTCCACGATACGAACAAAAACTTACCATATGACGTTACATTAGTTTAGTTTGCAGCGCCATTTTTTATTCACCTCTGTTCATTGGTTTCAGTCTGTGTGTTTGTTACGTCATGGACGATCTCGCTCGATGAAGGAAATCTTGAGGTATTATCAGAAAGTGACTGATTTTATTGAAAAGAAACATCCTGAAAGGTTCACATTGGCCGTATTGCTACTCGGAGTAATGACATTTGTCTAAGTCATTTTAGAAACATTTTAAAAAGTAGGTAAAGCCAAACCTCTTTGGATAGATATTTTACCAAGTGACCTCTATCCAGTGAAAGTGCTAGTGGAAGTGAAGGAAAGAAAGCAAAATGCAGTGAATAATCATTAAAATATATTTATATATACAGCAAACTAATATGCTTACTTGGGGAAGGAGACAGTGGTAAAGGCTGTTGTACAGGTCCATTTAGTGCTTCTATAAGAGGAACAGCCTCATAACCTGGTGGTACATCTTGGGGTACCTGAAAATAATATTATTTCATAAAAACTAAATACTTATTTCCAAATCAATAATAAAGTTATATATAACATAATTTCAAAAAGCCAGAATTTAAGATTTCTAGTACTTTCATATTTAATTATTTGTTTAATATTTATTTAAACCTTTAATCTTCACTATTATATGAAAAAAAAGATTTATTGGTTCAAAATTTGCAAATTTACATTTAAACAGTCTTCCTGTATCTTACTCCTATAAATCTGCAACTTTTCAGCTGTCAACGCCAAAGATGGGGAAGATAAAGGTTCTATGATGGCTGCTTCATTCCATTTGACTACAGATCCTGGTGCTTGTGCCATTTGGGACAAAATTGTTGCATTAGACTCCTTTCTGATATTATAACTATGTTCCTTGATTCTAAGTCCCAAACTAAAATTTACATATAACGAAAGTATGAANTTTTTTTAAATCAATTATTATTCTATTATGGTTATTTATACATGTACAACTACAAAATGCATTTTTCAGTGTTTCCTTACTATATTTATTATTTCTTTTTAATGTACTACTTAGCTTTAATTTGAGTGTGTTTTTCATGTTGGAATGAATTATTTGGTTTTACATGTAATTGTATGGGGAAAAATTATTCACCTTACGACATTTTCATGATACGATCTCAGTTTCAGAATGGATTAATTTCGTGTCCTGAGGTACCACTGTAATTCCAATGATACCAACAGTTTGAATTTCTGTTTTCCACAAAAAGGACATTCAACATTTTTAGAAAATGGAATTAATATGTAAATAGAATCTCTCTGTTTTCTGTTTTCTTTTTAATCGTGATTTTTCCACAAGTGAGAACTATGCTTAATAACATTTAATGTAGTGTTACCACCCATCTGATTTTCACCCGGACAGTCCGGGAATTGACTCACTGTCTGGGTGAACTATTAATTTTGTCCGGGAATTTTGTAGAAATTGTGAAATTACGATGAAAGAAAGTTCTTGCAAATATTGTGACAAATTTACACTATTGTAACAGTGAAAGAACTCACACTCACTGAAACCCATCTGCAAATCTGCCATGTTAGTTCGTTTACACCAACATGTGGCATGCAACCCCTGTTGACCTTGTTTTTCTTGTACGATTGTACATGTCTCAAATAGAGCTAAGTTATGTGTACCCGTTCTTTCTCCTATGCAAGTCCCTAGTCTGTAACTGTAACTGATTTAGAACTGAAATGCACATTATTCTTCGCATTGTAAAATGACATTGCGCATGCATCAGGAACTTCTGTTCAAACAAACCTGACATGCAATTCGGGTCAGCGATTTTCAAAAGGTGGCAACACTAATTTAAAGTATGGGTTAATGCAAAAAATAATTGGGTGAGAACTATTGATGAGGCATAAGTTATGTCATATACATACATTTTATCGGTATGTCTTTGATAGTTTCAGAAAAAGTTTTGATGGCTAAAGCATATGCTTGTGGTACACAAAGAACTTTTCATGTTTTCTAAAGTTGTTATTAGTAATTTTGAACACAGGAAAAGAAGTAGCTAAACATTGCAATAGGCTATGAAATAAGTTTACCTTCAGTAAAAGTTGTAAAATCTGAAAATAATATGTATAAACTCCAACTGTATAAACACATAAAAATAATAAAAACTAATAGTAACAAGATTAATGATAGTAACAGACAGGAAATAAATCATATGTGGTATGACTTTTAAACATGAAAGATTAATTCTGTTTAATTGATATGTATTCCATAGTCATGTAATTCTTTCCTGTGAACATGTGGATCACATGTGGTTGTTAGCTAACGGCAATGTTTTGTGATAATCAATTGGAAACAAGCAGTAAAACTAGTTGTAGAAACTTTTGTAGTGTAATAAAATAAAATAACTTACTGGAATTTAATTAAAATAATCAAACCACCTTACTATTTCCAGCAACGTATTTAATAAATTTAAAAACGTTTTCGACTATATTTAATAGTCTTCATCAGTTAAGAACTTTAAAATGGAAAACGAACGTAAAATAGAATGTAAGCTATACAACGGTTTAAAAAATTAAAATTAATTACGTAAAACGTAAATAAAACATAAAATAAATAAAATATTAAGAAATTAATCGTGGTAACGAATGAAATTAAATTAAAAAATAAAAATTAATCGTCATGGTAAAAAGATTTCCATGCGCAGGATAGACTTTCTGCGTCTCTATGGTTGATGCATCCTTTGTTAATATGCGCCTTGTAAATTTCAAGTTTTTCAATATGTTTAAGGACTTGTTTGTTGGTGGCTGTCCTAATTATGGATGCTTTGTCCCAATGTACATTAATATCTTGATGTTTAGCAAAGGCTGCAAGGACGGTGCTGTCCACGTTTTTAGTAATAGAATACTTATGTTCTTTAATCCTCTGTTTTAAAAGTCTCATGGTGGCACCAACGTAAACGAG